CTCTCTCTCTCTCTCTCTCTCTCTCTCTCTCTCTCTCTCTCTCTCTCTCTCTCTCTCTCTTTCCCTCTCTTTCTCTCTCTCTCTCCCTCTCTCTCTCTCACACACACAGAAAGAAAGATTTTTAGAGAATGAAGTTTCTCCAGAGTCTCTGAAATTTAAATTTGAGAGGAGAAGGATATTAATAATTATTGCTGGACGCCACCAAATAAGTACATAGATCAAGGTATACTTGAGCATGAAAATGCTTCTGCTCTACTCTTGATCTAACTGATTATATGGGTAGCACATATTGCAGAATGTGAATCACTATTCTCATTTTTTTAAGCTATACAAGCTGATTATTAATCATTCTTAAGCTGAGGATAAAGAAACCTCTTGCATGCAGCTTACTAACATGTATTTAGGATAGTTCCTGCTGTTGGTGAGTAAATAAATGCAACATAGGTAAAAATGGTTTTAATTAAGGTGTGGGTATGGAGGTAGTGAATTCTAGATTGGGAATAAAGGTTACAGCAATATAAAGATTTGCGTGTTGTTATCATGTTCTAACTATGCATGGCCTATGCATGATAATAGAATAGAATAGAATAGAATAGAATAGAATAATAACTTTATTGTCACTTTGAATGTATACTAATCGGCATACATTAAAATGAAATTTCATTGCTTACAGCTCTCAAAGGGTTACCACCTCCAATATACACTACATAAATATGACAAAAATAAATAAATAAATATAGAATTATGCATACACCCACATATATTATATGACACAGAGAGACAACACAGTCTAGTTCGGATTATGTATACATGTGCATGATGAGAAAAACGAATCTTGCAAGTTTACCAGATGGATGGCAGATTCCAGAAAATAGTCTTTGTTTTTTGGGGAATGTTAAACTTTATACACATAGACATTGTAGGCAGATTCTAACTTCTGGATTTTCACAGATCAAACAGTCAAAACTACTTTAGGCTTAGAACTCTCATGGAAGAATTCTTCTCATGTCAACCACAAAAATAAAAATAAAATAAAATGAAGATATCTTATAATTTTTCTTTAAATAAGGAAAATTCCAAAGACTATTTCATCAGTATCATACACAAAGGTTTTTTTTATAGCATTTTCAAGTGTTCAAATTGCATTATAAACATTATTGACTTGCAAACTTTATAACCATCCTGGAAGGTAAGTTAAAATTATTGTCTTCTCTATTGCTGGGGTGAGAGAGGCAGGCAGAAAAGAATAGCTTTTTCAAGATTGCCTGGTAAATCATGATAAAGTAAGAATTTCAGATTATACATCAACCTTCTTCATTACAGAGGATACTCACTTAACAACAGGAATTGGGACAGGCAACTCTGTTACTGAGCCATGTGATCACGAAGTGCAATGTCACGTGATCATGCTGACTTATGATAGCAGTTGTGGCAGTTCCATTTCCCATAAAATGAATCCTGTATGATTATTAGGAGCAACATCTTAGGATCACCACTGACCTTACTTGTTTTCCAAAGCACTAGAGAGCAGGACAAGAAACAATGGATGGAAACTAATCAAGAAAAGAAGCAACCTGAAATCAAGGCAGAACTTCCTAACTGTGAGGACAATTAACCAATGGAACAGCTTTTGCTGTCAGAAGTTTTGGGTGCTTCATCACTGGAGGTTTTTAAGAAGAGACTGGACAGCCACCTGTCTGAAATGGTATAGGGCAGGGGTAGTCAACTTTGGCTCTTTTATGACTCGTGGACTTCAACTAAAAGAGCCAAGGTTGACTACCCCTGATATAGGGTCTCCTGCTTGAGCAAGGAGTTGGACTAGAAGACCTCCAAGGTCCCTTCCAGCTCTATTCTGATTGTCAGAAGCCAGCACTGAAAGTTGTGACGGGTGATCTCATGACTACAGGATGTTATGGCCATTGTAAACATGAGCCAGTTGCCAAGAGCCCAAATTGCAATCGTGTAATTGGTGGACACTGCAATGGTCGCAGCTACAAGGAGTGGCCATTTAGCTTAGAGATACATGAAGCTGTTTCAGAAATGAAAATGCTAGTGTACAGCAAGGTGTTTAAAGCTGTTATTTGATTTAGAGTTGGTTTAGAGTTCTGCCCCATTAGTGCAGACACTGTATAAATAAAATGGAAGATCACCAGTGGAGATACAAAGAAGCCAAACAAAATTTTCTTTGTATTATTCTGAAAAGAAGTGTCACTTAATAGGCAACGGGTTACTTATCACTGGCCTATATGATTATTCTCATATTGTCTTTAAAAGAAAATTGTAAAGATCTTATATTAATTCTGCTAAAAGTGACTGTAATAAGTATTGTTCCTCAATATATACCTAAATTTAAACTATTTAAAAAAATTAAACTGTACAGAAAACATAGAAATTAGCACTGCTAATTAAACAAGTTAAGCAATTGATCTCAGATAATATGTTCATTCAATAAACATTTATACACATTTCAGAATATGATCCAGTTGTGTTATATTTCCTGCCATCCTGTGCTTTCAAAAAATTCTTTCTATTTTTTTTTCTGTCTATGCATCCCTATACAGTACTGAGTTTTTTAAAAAAAAAAATACGCAGAGAATAAATAGATAGGGAAAGACACTCATCTATTTTCAAACACCATTCAAACCATCCTACAGCCTTTTTCAGAAAGCAAGCTCAACTTCAGGAAACTAAAAAGCAGAAGTGAAAAAAATATCAGCATTAGGTCTAGATTAGAAGATACACAGGCCCATTCCTGGCCTGCTGGAAGATTACAGAGGTTGCAAAAGGAAAAATAGCACATTTCTCTAGATCAAGTTCTATAAATTATAGAATGTATACGGTAGATATTTTTTTCAGCACAGGGAGAAAAGAAAGAGCTAACAGGAGGCTGCATTCCTTAGAAGCAATATATAATTGATTACTGAACACATTGCTTTTAAAATTACTTGTTCTACTTTTTAGTATAATAAGTTATTTATTGGAATTCTATGTGGGATTCTTTTTCCTAAAGACCAGAAGACCCTACAGGTAATCTTTGACTTACAGTGGTTCGTTTAGTGATCGTTTGAAGTTACAAAGTCATTGCAAAAAACAACATAAGATTTTTCACACTTATGACTGTTGCAGAACCCTCATGGTCACATGATCAAAATTCAGATGTTCGGCAACTGACACATATCTATGAAGGTTGCAGTGTCCGGGAGTCACGTGATCACCTTTTGTGATTTTTATGACCAGCAAAGTCAATGGCGAAGCCACTTTCACTTAACAACCGTGTTACTAACTTAACAACTGCAGTGATTCACTTTACAACTGTGGCAAGAAAGGTCGTAAAATGGGGCAAAACTCACTTAACAAATGTCTCACTTAGCAACAGAAATTTTGGGCTCTATTGTGGTCGTACTATTTTTTTCTGCAAGAATTCTGCACTGTTATTGTTATTCTTACAGTAATATGCATGAGTGTATCTGTATCCACATATTAATGAACACATGTTATAGAAATTTATAATAGACTCTGAAGTTTTCTTGGTAAGTTTTTTGGAAGAGAGAGAGGGAGGGAGGGAGGGAGGGAGGGAGGAGAGAGAGAGAGAGAGAGAGAGAGAGAGAGAGAGAGAGAGAGAGAGAGAGAGAGAGAGAGAGAGAGAGAGAGACTGGCCCAGGGTTATCCAGTTGGCTTCATGCCTAAGGTGCAGGGCTGGCTCCAGAAATTGGGCAATGTGGGCAAATTCATATCCAGGTGTCCGCTACGTTTTAGTTCATCTTCCAATTTTTGTCAGGAATTTCAAAAAGGTGCCTCTCTTGGGTTTTTTTCTTCTTCAGGTTTCTGAGCTTTAAATTTATGGTTTTCAGCCTCAGACATTTTTTTTCTTTTCTCAGACATTTAAACCTTATATACACACAGTAATTTTAATTACCTCATCGCTCATTGTTGTTATATGACAATAATTCTGCAAAATTATATTTGATCTTTGAGTCAGCATGCTGGCTTATGGAGGACACTGCTACTGCTTCTCATTTTTTGTGCTTTTCAAAAGTCGTTTCAATTTTGCCGCCCACTAACATTTGCTGTCCTTAGGCTGCTACCCATTCGGCCTTAGCCTAGAACTAGCTCTGCTAAGGCAGGACTAGAACTCATGTTTTCTCAATTGTTAGTCTGGTGCATTAAATATTACACCAAACTGGTTCTCTTAGCAAATATACTCTTAAAAAAAACATGTTGGACATTCATGTTGAGTGGCAATAAAAGGAAATTCAACCCATTTGGGGCAAACACTCTCAAACCACCTAAACAGTTTGCTAAGTAATCTTGCAGAAGGACAGATTTAGACTGTGATAAAAAGTCTGATTCCTATCATACTGGAACCACTTGGACCGGTATAAACTGAACATACATATTTAAACTTTCCTAATGTTTTTGTTTTATACTATGGCAAATGCTTTTAAAAGGTTTGGGATGTAGGAAAAAGGTTATCAACTTTTTAAATCTTGTACAATAGCTCAGATGTTCTCAAACAATAGTGATGATGATAATAATACCATTAAAATTAAATGGTTTAAATCTCAGCATTGCTAAAACTAATAGGGTGTCAAGCAATTTCTTTTGTATGTTTTTAAGAGATTGCTGAGAAGAACATCTCATGAAATTTGGCAATCTTAGATTTAAAATACTTTTAAAAAGGGGAAAAATTTAAAAAAATAATTTGGGAGTTTGATGTATGCCTTCTGATGGTGCGGTGAGTACAGGATACTAGAGGTTATGTTGACAACCAACACGCATGATGAATACATTTAAGTTAATATGTAGAAGCAACTTTTATGTTCAAAATTTTAGTGCTGACTTTTTATGGTTGAATAGTTCCCTTTTTTATTGTTAGACAGATATAACAATATAGCTTCTGTAATAACAGTGCAGCAATGCATCATCAGATTAATATTCAACTGTCCCTGTGTCTAAGTCAGGCACTCTGCTTTAAAAATATCTGTCCATCCTCTTTTCAGCTACTTTGGAGTCATGGAAGGTGGCACTGCCTCTCAAAAGTCCGAGAACAGCAACGACACATCCAGTTTGCCTTCTTCACAGTCTTCACAATCGTCTTCCTACACACCCGTCAAACTCGAAGAATATGAAACATCAGGCTTCAGCATCAAGAAGCTTCTCACAAAAGCCAAAGAGAACTGCAATTGCAACCAACAAAGTGTCCTCACCTTCTTCCATCAGTTGTTCCCAGTAACCGAGTGGCTTCCTCGTTACAATATCAAGGAAGATCTGCTGGGAGATGTCATCTCAGGCTTGTTGGTAGGAGTTGTGTCCATCCCTCAGTCTATCTCCTATGCCATCCTTGCAAGCCAGGATCCCATTTATGGGCTCTATACCAACTTCTTCTGTGCTATTATTTACTTTGCCATGGCTACGTCACGCCATAATTGTGTCGGTTCTTTTGGGGTCCTTTGCTTGATGATTGGACAGTCAGTAAACCGGCAACTTACTCTAGCAGGATATGATTTGGACATGGATACAGATCTCATAGCCAATGCCACAATGAATGGCACGTTTATCTGTAACAGAGGTTGTTATGCAATCACAGTGGCAACCACTCTAACTTTTTTGGTTGGGCTTTATCAGGTAAGATAAATTACTCTTTCTTTTAAAAGAATTTCTTTCTATGTAAGTGTCCATCTACCTAGTATGAGCAAAAAAAAGCCTTTATATTTAGTGTTCGGAAGAGTCTTCATTCAAAGCGAAAAAAATTAATGCTCCTTGTGTATCTCTACATGAAATCCATAGGCTATCCAGGACTTTAATAGCATGCATCTAATTGTCCTGAGGATTGATTTTGGCTTTTGCATGTAAAATATTTATGTATTTATTTCAAATACTTTAATATGATTTCAATCATTGTGAGCCCTATAGGATGTCTGAGTTACAGACTGTTTTTGAAAAGTTGTTCTTTCTAATATTTTATCAAACTCTTGTTTGTTCCAGATCTGACATCTAACTTGTCACAGTCAAATTCTATAACTAGTAATAACAGACAAAAAAAATGCAACTTGAGATCTATCACCTTCTTTTTCATTGCATTTATTTCTGAATCATGAATTCTATTTACTTTTCCTTTCAGATTATTCTAGGGGTCTTCCAGTTGGGCTTCATATCCGTTTATCTCTCAGAACCTCTTCTGAGTGGGTTTGTGACAGGGTCCTCCCTTACCATTCTCACTTCCCAAGTGAATCTTCTGTTTGGACTGAAGATCCCTCGGCATGATGGAATTGGCTCCCTTGTTTTAACATGGATTGACATCTTCAGATATATTGGGAAGACCAACATCTGTGATTTGGTCACCAGCCTGGTGGCTTTAATTCTAATTGTGCCAGTAAAGGAAATCAACAATTTATTTAAGGACAAAATGAAGGCTCCATTTCCTATGGAACTCCTGGTGGTAATTGGAGCCACACTCCTGTCACATTTCCTTAACTTCAATAGTAGATACAAATCTAAAATTTGTGGTACAATTCCCACCGGTTTCAAACCACCTGCTGTCCCAGATCTGAGCCTTGTGCCAAATCTGGCAGTTGATGCTCTACCTATTGCCATCATTGGTTTTGCTATGACAGTCTCACTGTCAGAAATATTCGGCAAGAAGCATGGTTATCCTGTCCAAGCCAACCAAGAGATGATTGCCCTTGGGATGGGAAATCTGATCCCATCTTTCTTCTACTGCTTTGCTTCCTGTGCAGCCTTATCAAAAACCTTGCTGAAAGAATCAACAGGATGCCATACTCAAATATCAAGCTTGATATCTTCAGCTGCATTGCTCCTGGTATTATTGTGGATTGCACCTCTCTTCTATTCACTGCAAACTTGCATCTTGGGTGTGATTACAATTGTTAATCTCAGGGGAGGATTGCGGAAATTTGCTGATGTACCCAAGATGTGGCGGATCAGCAAAATAGACACCATAGTCTGGTGGGTAACCATGCTGTCCTCATCTCTGATCTCCACAGAACTGGGCCTTCTGATAGGAGTCTGCTTTGCTCTGCTGTGCATCATCTTCCGCACCCAACGGCCCCGAGCCACCCTTCTAGGTAAGGTGAATGACTCTGAAATCTATGAGGATCAGTTCATTTACAAGAGGATCAGTAGCATTGCAAACATCAAGATCTTCCGCTTTGATACTTCTCTTTACTACGCAAACAAAGACTACTTCAAAAGTTCACTTTTCAAGAAAACGGGGGTGAATCCCGGCCTAGTTGCTGCTCTACAACAAAAAGCTGAAGCTAAAGCAAACCTAACCAAAAATCAAAGTTGTTTTTCTTCCAAGTTGAATTGCCTAAGGGGAACCAAGACCTCAAAGGCTTCAGCAGATGCTCCCGATACCTCGTTAGATATGCATACCTTGATCATTGATTGTGGAGCCATGCAATTTATAGACAGTGTAGGCCTTAGTGTGCTGAAGGAGATGCGTCAAGATTACAAGAAGATCGGTATACAGGTCCTGCTGGCCAATTGTAACCCATCCATACGGCGTTTGCTCCAGGCAGGAGGATGGCTTACTGGGATGCAGGATCCAGAGTTGCTCTCATTCCATGGCATACATGCTGCTGTGCAGTTTGCAGAGAAACAGGATCAAACTCAACAGACAGACAGTGTGCCAGTAACAAATGTTTTCGGGCCAGAAACTGAGGATGTTTCAATAGCCTTGAGTCTGGAGGAACCCCTCTAGGCCTGCATGAAGCAGGATGTGAACTTTTGAGGAACTAGTTCAATAGTTATTTTATCAAGAAGAAAAAGGCCTGGCTGCCAATAACCTTAGATAACATGTGTTTCAGTTGTGACAAGCTAAGATGGTGGCCTTTTCATTTCAGAGAATAATTATACTCTGTTGTTACATTGCCACATAATCTTTGTCCCTGCTATGGAGATAAAAATGATGTGGGAAAAGCTGCTTAATTTCTTTACTTAAGCAACTATTAAAGGGGAAGAAAGGAAGACCTTCAAAGTAGGAACTTAATTATATTTTAATCCTGCATGAAGCTGGGCCAGTATTTAATCAACGAAACAATAATGAATATATAGATAGGTTGGGAATCATGAAGTAGTGAGTCTGACCTACATATGCAACTCGAGAAAGTCAGGGTCTGAAACTGATAGTCTTTCAATGGCTGTGTCAATTTAAGAAGACACTCCCTAAAAATAAAAATGTATATCACCACGAATGTTTCCAGCCTTGCTTTGCTACATTATAGATTATCTACAAGAAAAACAAATGGTAGGAGATAAAGAACATAAGCCTGATAGAGAATAGACAACTGGCACCTACAAGAATTAAGGACTACAAGTCCCATCAATCTTAGCTATTAAGATTGGTCAGGGATGATAGATCTCTGATCCAATGCATCTGGAGAATGACAAGTTGCCTACCCATGCTTTAAAAATGGCTGATCCTAGTGAAAGAAAGCAATTGTCCATGAGTAGCCTCATTCATTTTATAAGCTTAAACATTGTTAGCACTATACCTGTGCTCAGGAAGGGAAGATGTCTTTAGTTGTTATATTTTATATCATAACAATTCAGCCCACTGGTTTCCCTAGAGAGGCATTTTCTTATCTGACCAATCTGGCTTTGCTAAACTATCAAGCAAAGAGGAAACTCTACCAGAAATCCTTTTAGCTGGCACCAACAGGCTGAACCTGTTCTTGAACAGAGAGCAGAAGAGAGTCAGAAGAGAAGGGGAAAATTGGTATTTGTTCAGAAAGGAAATGTAAAGTAACATAGCTTTTACCCAAGGAAAAGGATATTCTACTGGACAGTAGAGAACATTATATAATCTTACAGATAAATTAAGGTCTTAAGGTGATCCTAAGAATGCAGCAGGCTTTAAATGGCTTTTGAAACTGACTTGCTGCTTGTTATCCTTAAAATTACTTTCCCTTTTTCTGTCACTTCTTTAAAAAAAAGTTAAATGTGGCCATTTCTTCTGAAAGGAAAAAGGGGCTGCATAGAGGTGGTGGGAGTGATGTCACTGTCCCTCCTTGCTGCCCTCTGCAGATTCTCCGACCTCTTTGCTAGCCTGCAAGTCATGCAGACTATTACCAAAAAAAAAAAAAAAAAGGTCTGGGAGGAACAGGAGAGGCCGGACGTCCTGCAGATGATGTGTGCTAAACTACAACATTGAAAACTGAGCTTTAGGATTAGGAAAAATATGTGCAGAAACAGCGCAGGAGCCGTTAACAATAAGATGAGGCTGTTTCCCAGGAAAGAGAGCTGAAGAAATTAGTATTTCCAAAAGGGTTTAGTAATCCCGTGTATTTATCTCATAGGGATTTTTTTTCCTGTAAAGAACTCCTAAATTATTGATATGCTGTTCTCCCTTCTATGAAATGCTTCCTTATTTCTCTTTATTTTCTTGTATACTAATGAAACAAATCAAAAAATCAAATATCTGAAGTGTTTTTTGTGTCATTTGTTTTGTATACTCCTTATTCCTCTTGCTTCTATGATTCAAACATTGCTCCAAATGATCTACGTGCTGCTCCACTTTATCCTCCCATCCCACGTCGCCTGAGCATAATTAATCATGTCGGTGACATGAACGAGGTGTGTGTGTGTGTGGGGGGGGGTTGTTTCTAAATTTCCACAAAAAACATCCTCTCCTTTCCAAGAATGCCTATTCAGCTGCTTTTACCATGAAGATACCTTCTGAATTGTTTGAAGTTTGATTCCCTGTAGTTTCCATTCTTTGGTTCTCCTTCTGATTTTTGAAGCAGGGAACAAACAAGTTTGCTTCATCCCTCAGATCAGAACCTCGTAGCCAAATATAAACATACTTTACCAAAATAAACGAAAGGCTCTGTGTATCAATAATATTACTTTTCATTGACCACCAGAGGGCGAGAGAATGACACAGGAAAAACAGAAGTCAGGTTTGTGGGTATTGAGAGAATTATAAAAATGAGCAGGATTTATTACAATATTTATTTAGAATTTATTTATTACATTATAATAAATTCTCAGGCAATTAGAAAATGTACTCCACATGACCAGAAGGGCTTTGTTAAAAAAAATTGATTAAAAAAGTAGGGATTTGTTTTCCTCTCAGTGTAAGCACGCGTAGGAAGAAGCTCCTGTTGGAAGAAGAATTTCTAAGATTATTTGCCATTGGGAGAATGGCAAATAGCACAATTTCTAAAGTGATATTTTGCAACAGCCCAAAATGGAATTAATAATACTATGTCTGAATGTGTGAATATTATAAATAGACATTTTGGGCTTTGTTGGACTTAATGATGGAAGGCACATGAAAATAAACGGTTACTTTGGATTTTCCCAAAATTATACAGCCAGTGGTATCTTCATGGTACATATACCTTGAAGGCTTATTAATAGATAGATTTAAAAAAAAACCCTTTAGGCAGACAAAGAATGTATTTTGTTAAGCACTTTGGATAATTTTGCAATGGTTTGTTTTGTAACTAGAAGCAACATATATAAACATTAGATCTGTACAAAAGCACCTGAGAAGGGTGCCTCCTCCTTCAAAAGAACAATATCTTTGGAGACTGTTTTCCTCAGTTGTCTGAACACAGATTTGCAGAGCATTTGTACATGTGCATATGCTCACAGAAGCAGCCAAGGAAAATTTTTTGAAGCAAATCAACAGGTTTTTCAAACACTTTCTTCCTTCACTTGCATGAACACACTTTGCAAAGCGCCCTTTCAAAAGCATTGCACAGCCTCAGTAAATCCCAATTTGAATATCAAATCTGAAACTTTGCTTTCCAAGAAAAGCCACAGTTGATCTTAAGGTATCTTTCTTGGAAAAGCAAGTAAGTAGTCCTAAGAGGCAATTTTGAAAGTTTCCCCACCACTTCAATGATCATTGGGAAGAGAAGATTTTCTTATAGATCAGCTTATGCTAATAGCTAGTTAATAGAAAACTCAGAGGAGAATCTTGCTGTGAAGGGATGTGAAATATTCCTTAAGGCTCTTTATTGAAAGGAGTGCTTTTAAACTTCCTTTAGTGATGAAGCAGTGAGGTGGCCAAATGTTTGATAAGACAAAATAAACAGAAATGATGGAAAGCTCAAAGAGATCTATCTAAATTAGGAATGTATATATGTATATATGACTGAATGTATTAGATCAGTGGTGGCGAACCTATGGCACGCGTGCCAGAGGCGGCACTCAGAGTCCTCTCTGTGGGCATGCATGCCATGCCCCGAAGATGGCAACCATCCCTCTTCAACCAGCTGCCTGCTAACTCACCGAGGCCCCATGTGGCATGGCTGGTTTCCCTCCCCCCCATCCCTCCTGGCCTCGCATGCTCTCCTTTTCCCGGGCACGACCCACTGCATCGCCTCCTCAGCTGTCGGCCGGCTGGCCAGCTCAGAGGCAGCTTCTCTGAACTGCTGGCGGGAGGCTGCGGAGCCCCAGAGTGCACCAGTGTTGCTGGTCTCTGTGTGGGCTGATGATGTCAGGCAGCAGCTGCCCCTGCCCCTGCCTCACCTTGCCCTGCGACAATGACACCCCAGCCCTGCCTCACCTCACCCCGCAGGACGAGCCTTCTACCCACCGACCCACCTGCCAGAGACCACCTGGATCTCCCCCAACCCTGCCCGGCCCCCACAGGCATCCCTCCCGAGCAACATCGAGGAGACTATGCCCACCTTGGCTACACCCACCCAGTCCGCCATGACTACAGCCACACCCACTCAGTGGGCCACGCCCACCTGGCACCTGGCAATAAATAAGTGGGTTTTGGGTTGCATTTTGGGCACTCGGTCTCTAAAAGGTTCGCCATCACTGTATTAGACTGTCATATATAAAAAGAGTCAATTTTCTTAGTGGTGAAGGCAGCAGGCTAGAAAGCAGGAGACAATGATTCAACAATGACTCAATGATTCAAAGGTAAAAATGAAAGGTTGGTCTCCTTCAAGTAAGCTCAACTCCAAATTATGTTATGGACATTAGGGCACAAAGGAATTAATGATACACATTATATTAGAAATGGAATGGGATGACCAGGTAAGAAATTTTTGGGGTTTGGTAATTCTGCAAAAATGGCAAATTCCATGATGGATAGTATTAGGAAATAAATCAAGAATTGTGGTAGCCATATCTTTATACCAAGCTATCGTACAATCAATCTCTTGCAGAATTCTCATCAATATATTTCCAAAACAGCTGGAAAAATGCATAAATGAGCAACCAAAATAGCTAAGACATTAGAACTACTATTCTACTTCACTGTGACAAAAGGTTAAGGGATTTAACTAGAATGTGATCCATCTAATGAAATAGAATAGTGGGAGCTTCCTGAAAAAAGAGAATTGTAACTGAAATTGAGACATAACAATCACCACTGTTTGTAAGGCAACCAAAAAGGAGTGTAAAGAGGGATTAGACTAACATTATGGCAATGAATGTTAATTGAGATGCCTATATATTGTGGAAATCATATTCAGAAAGGTACTTTATTTGTGAGCTTTCTCTGGATTATTACAAGAAGGGAGCTTCTAAAATAAAAAAAATGGCAAAAGAAGAACAAATTGGGAAGTCATCTTTGCTTCTTCAATTCATGCTCAATATTTTTTATTTTATTTTTTTTTAAAAGCAAAACTGAAAGAAACGTTGCAAAATTTCATGTAATTTGGGCTTAAAATTCTGGAGGCACATAATTAATCTCAGATGAATATATCAAGGGAGTGTATGTACGTAACTGCTTATGGAGATTAAATTCAACAGTTAGAAGGGAGAAGAGCCTGAAAAGTTTCCTGAGACAATTCACTTGGGAATTGCCTAATTCAGCAGTATCCATTCAAAGAAAGTGCAAATATAATTTACTGTGACCATTTACTACTAAAATATGAAATGAAAAAAGGTACGTAGCAATTTCCCCTCAAAAGGTTATAAAGAATGGACGAATTTAGATATCATGTACATTCCATATTGGTATCCACAATACAGAATTCGCTCTTCGGTTCAAGACTTGATACTATAATGCCAACACTGCATAATATCAAAAAACTTTGAGTTGTACTCGGAAGATTTACATTTTCCACCCCTTTAAGACATCACGGAAGTTAACTTCAACTTCATATGAGCTGAGACTGTGCCCCAGTGGCAAGAGGCTATTGAAACTACAGCTCATATCTTACTATCCCTTACTTTCTATAAGAAAGGGCGTTGTCTTACCTGAACGCTTATTCTCAGCATGATGATGGAGAATCCACATAGATGGGTTGTCTTAATCTTCCTGCTCCAATCAGACTAAGTCTTAAGTGTAGATACACCTCTGCTGTGCCATCTGCACCCCAGTTTGAGACTAAGGCGATACACAGACGTTAGTCCGACGCGTGTACTGTTCAATTACCGGACCCAGGGCCTACAGACCCTAAAACGGGTGGGGGTGGATTCTCCATCATCATGCTGAGAATAGGCGTTCAGGTAAGACAACACCCTTTCTCACAGCATGATTGGATGGAGAATCCACATAGATGGGACATACCAAAGCCCTGTGTCCCTAAGGGGGGGAATCAGTCTGGGCCTGGGTCCCACTAGATAATGATACATGCTTCAACACCCTGCGACCAAATGAGGCATCGGAAGATGCATACTTGTCAATTTTATAGTGACGGACAAAGGACGAGGGCGAGGACCACGCCGCTGCCCTACAAATTTCCCCTATGGATGCCTGAGTCGCCCAAGCCGCCGAAGTAACAGCGCCCCGGGTGGAATGGGTAGTTATATGTCTAGGAACTGGCAATGACTGACTTTGGTATGCCAGGGCGATGCAAGCCCTAATCCACCCCCCTATCATGGAGGAGGAGACCTTCTGCCCCATGGACGAAGGTTGAAATGATATAAACATTGCCTCGGACCTACTGAAGGCCGAAGTCCGGTTTATGTAACACTGCAGGGCCCTGCATACGTCAAGTGTGTTCCACTGCTTTTCAATGTCATTGGACGGGCTAGGACAGAAGTATGGTAAAACCACTCCCTAGGATCTATGATACAAGGAGTTAACCTTGGGTACAAAGGAAGGGTCTAGTCTGAGGATAACCCTGTCCGCATGAAAAACACATAGT